TTCGCCGCGTCGCCTGGGGAGGTCCGCCGCGCCCTTCGCGAGGGGTTCCCCTCCGCCCTCCTCGCGGAAGAGAAGAAAGAGAAGGAAGAGAAGGAAGGGGAGGGAGAGGAGGGAGGGCCCTCCCATCGCCCCTTCACCCCGGAAGAGGCGCTCGCGATCGCGGATGAAATCGGCCGCGCCTCCCGCTGGGGGGTTTCGCCCGCGCTGCGGCGTGAACTCCACGCGGCGCTCGACGCCTTCACCGTCAACGGGGAGGGGAAGGAGAAGGAGAAGGAGAAGGGGGGAGGGGGGAGGGGGGAGGGGGGGATCACCCCGGACGACCTCGCCGAGGCGATGCTTTCGGAAACGGCGTCCTCCCCCCGCATTTGCGATCCCGCGCAACGGTAGCGTTGGGGGATTTCGTTTTGAAATAACCGTCACCTCTCCCCTTCCCTCGCTCCCTCGCCGTTTTTCGAGCGGAGTGAAGAAGAGCGGTCGCCGTGGGGAGGGGGAAGGTTTTTTTTAATTTTATTTCACCGCCTTGACGAATGGATCGTGCGCGCTGTCGTAAGGCGCATGAGGTTGTGAAGTGGAGGGGGCTGGAGACGCTTCCACAGGGCTGGTGCGCGGCAAAACTTTATGATGGGGATGATTCAATATCCTTGTCGATGGAGTTGGTGGTGATGTCCTTTGCGCTTTATTAGCCTTATGATTATTCCAGACTGAGGGGTTTCTCCATCCCCTCTTTCAGGGCATCGGATGCTTCTAGGAAGACATTGTGAGGCTGTGCCCTGTGGTAGTGGCATTCCTACATGATCACATTTTTTTTCTTATTTTGTCTCTTTCTCTTTCTTTTTTTTCTTTGTGTTATTACGATCTTGGTGATATTCGGAAGGTTTAACAACGTTTACGACACTTTTAATCAACATCACGTTTTTTTTTGCTTTTTTTTTTTTAGTTAACCACGAACATGTCGTCGGATAATGAACCGAACCATAGAGGTCCCTTCCCGATGTCGTCTTCTTCACGGGAGTGCGGGGCGGAAGGGCATGAGCGATCCTGTCGACGAAGTGAGCCCGGGTATCTCGAGCCGGACCTCGACGTCGAGGATGAAATCTACGCCAACCTCTCCAAGAATAATTACCAATACGAGAACGGTGCGGAGGCTGATTTCGGCCCCGAGGCGTACATCCAGCGGCTGGATGAGGAGCGCGCGATGCGGGTTGCCCGTCGCCGCGCGCAGGGGAGGGGGATTCAGCGGATTTTAGGCAAATTCGTCCCCTACGGCGGGCTGCTCGCGTCGAGTTTCAGCCTCACGAGCTCCTCCGTCGGGGCGGGGATTATTTCGTTGCCCTCTGCGTTTCAAATGTCGGGGATTATCATGGCATTT